CCGTGAAATCAATATGGTAACGTTGATCACAATATCTTCCTAGTATGTAATAATAGAAATTTAAGAAAAATATGAAATGTGAAGTGCATGTTCAGGCTTTGTTTTTTCCGTAATGTTGTTCTAATTTTCGAAATGTTTTTTTTCTTTTATTATTTTTTTCTCTAAAAAAAAGAGAAGTCTTGTTTTTGTTGTAATAAATTTTTTTTTGTTTACAATTCTTTAAATCGCATTTAGGAAAAAAACTTTTATACTTTTCGAAAACATTTACAAAAAGGAGCATATTTGTGCCCTTCATAATTAATTACTTTTCACAACATATAATAAAAATATTTATGGGTATATATATTTATATTGTTGTTGGATCCTCTCATTCACATAAATTTTCGCTGTACCACACATATAAAACATTTTATGCTACAAGTAATGCTAGTTATTATATAAAAGCTATATGAATAATATAATTATGTATATAGGAGATAATAAATATATGTATACAAATATATCTAGGTTTTTTTCCAAAAAACAAACAAAAAAAAATAAAAACCAAAAAGAAAAATTAGAATAGTTCTCTCAAGTTTGTTGTTCTCTTATTTTTTGTTTTAAATTTTATTAAAAATGTGTGTATACCTTGTCCATACTCGTATTATTTAAAATCTAATTATAAAGTTATAATATATAAGTGTATGGACTCGTATGCATGTATGCATGTATATGTAAACTGGTGTAAGGAAATTGGAAAATTTAAAAAATCTGAAATTTTCTTTTCTTATTTCATAATGATTCATTATATAATACAAACTGTTATATATAGAAAATACTTTTGTATATAATAAAAACGAACAAAAATTATAAAAATAGAATATCTTGCTTCTTTTCTTTTTCTTTTCTTATTTCTGTGCGTGATACTTAAATAATACAAGTATATTTTGTTCTTCTTCATTGTTCCAATATAAACCGTGTAAAACAATATATCGATATTATATATATACATGCAGTAGAGATATATACACACACACACACACGTTAATACATTTTAAACATCAATCGACATAGCATATGTACATTAAATAAATAAAATCGTACGAAAAAAATATGAAATTATATTTTAGAATATAATTTTATTGTGTATCCAAAGGAAGAATACAATATTATGCAGAGTTGTATTAAAAAAGAAAAAACAAATTATGATTAATATTTAATTTTTTAAAATGGAACATGAATTTGTTTATTTCGCAAAAATTTTAATAAAACTGAATAAATCAAAATGTTGCTTTTACATTTCTAATATTACAGAAATAAGGCTTATTACTGCATTGCATACTTTCAGGACTTCATGCAAACAGATTTTTAAAGCATTAAACATAAGTAAATACAAAAAACTTTTTTAGAGAAAAGAACTTCTGATATATCAGCCTTATAAATTGTGAGATAACTTTAATATTTATTATACATTCTTCTTAAAAAACTCTATTTAACTGATGAAAAGTACTGAATTTCAACTAATTTGAATTAGTTCCAATTTTTGCTTCCTAAGAATTGAAAATTTGGTTGTAAAATTTTTTATTTTATTGGGTGGCTGCCACAAAACATTAAGCATTTTAATTTTTACTTTTAAGACTGGTTTCCGATTTAAAAGTAGCCTTTATGTAAAAAGTTTTACACTGTTCAAACTACTGAACATCCAGTTTGTAGAGATACTTAAAAAATGGTTGTATTTTTATTTCGAAATTTTTAAAATTCGAAGTTTTCTAGAATGAATATTTTACCTAAAGAAAAAAATAACGAGTGAAATTGTACAATCCGAAATTTCAATTAGTATGAATAAAAGTTACTATACTTATTTAAACGTTATTATTGAAATCTATATTGAAATACTACTGAGATAAACTAACAAAAAGTCTGCAATTCCATCCCCATGAAAATCTTCTCAATAATATTTTATTTGTTTGTCAAATGCTTAATAAAAATTTAAATGTAAAATTTTAAAAAAAATTATTTTATTGTTGTTGTAAGTTGGTAGACACTATATTATTGGAAGAGTTTAACAGGTACATCTTTGAGTTAAAAATATAATTTTTAGTTCGTTTTAACGAAAATTGTTTTAAAGTATAAATGAAACACTTTTGTTTAAGAATTAAAATTTATCGCATTATTTATCAGTTTACTAACAAGAAGTTTTCGTAAAATTTTTTTAAAAAAAAAAAGCATGTTTGCTAGACATAAGATGTAATATACATATACAATAAAAAAATTTATTTTAATAAATTTGTTTTTTTTTGCAATATGACGTTCGTCAATTTAAAATTTTTTTTATTTTATATTTTTCCTAAAATATATTTTTTGGTAAGATGATACACTAGTATATAAAATATCATTCAAACTTTGAATATCTAGACCTAGATTTTTGCAATTAATTTTTGTATAGTTATTGCGTTATTTAAATTTTAAAAATAATGCACAAAATTCTTAAATATTTTTTGAATGAATAGATTTACTTTAAAATTTTAATCATATAATTTTTTATATATCTTTTCAGAAACTTAAATTCCGAAAAGAAAGAAAATTTAAAATATTAAAATGAATTTACGATATAACAACACTAATAATAATTAAATTGATATTATATATATATAATATATATATATATAAACAATATTATTAAAATATGTACCATATAGTCAACGCAATTAACCTACAACTAAAAAAAGTATATAATTAATTTTGGTATGAATCATACGTTTTACAATTTCTTTCGATGTGATTTTTCAAAGAGTTGAAAATTTTCGTTCTATAAATGAGATCGTAGCAATAATATATGTATGTTTGTATATGTATTAAAATATTTATAATGTTCTGAAAAATTGAAAAAATAAACAAATAAATTGGAATTTTCAAAAGTTATTATTAGATAATATTTACAACTTGGAAATTAAATTGTTTTTTTTTTATTACTTAATTTTTTAATTAAAAATACAATTTTATTCCAAGAATGTTTTGAGGTAACTTAATTTTTATTTTGGTTTCTCTTAAATTTTAAATATTTAAATTTTTGTTTTAAAACTCATCGACTTAAAATTATGAATTAATTATTAAAATATATTATTTAAGAAATTCTAGTAAGTATTGATCGATTTAATTAGAAATATCGATTATTTGATTGTAGATATGAAATTTAATTAATATTGAAAATTTTGTTCATTTAAAATGAATCTTTTGATTATGTCAAAATATTAATTTTCATTTTTCGATTTGTCTACAATTTACAAGAAACTCATTCCCTTACAGTGTGTAAAAGTGTAGTACAATAAATTTGTGATACAAAAAATTTTGTCTGCATATAAAAAATTTTGTCTAATTGAAGTTCACATTCTTAATTCAAATAGAATATAATACATACATATATGTATAAAATAGTAGAAATATTACTTAAACTGAGTAATGAATAATAAAAAAAAATTAAATTATAGACCCAAACCAATTGAAAGTTTTTGAAAAAATAACTAATGCCAAAAAGACAGTACAAATAGAAGATTTTATTTTACAATAATAATCTTCAATTATTTTAGCCAGCACAAGACGTAAAATAAACAGAAATTTTCGAATAAACTAGAAAGTTCCTGGCCTTTAACCTACATTTTACTAAAATTAGAGCATTTTCATATTATACAATAAACGTTTATGTGTATTTTTAAAATATTTTATGATTTAATTATAGTTGTTTTGAACTTATTCATACTATCGATAATCACATTAATTATTTTATGTTTTAAAATTTTCATACTATTAACGCGCTTAATTCATTCGCATGTAAAGGTAAAAATGAAATTAATTTTTTTATTTTCATTATAGTCTGGCAACTGACATTTTTCTCTTGGTTTATTAAAAATTTTTATCAACAATGGTTCCTTATTGTACTTATGAAGTAGACACTTAAAAATTTTATATTAATATAAGTTGTTGAATTCGGTTGACGTATACTCGTACCTACAGTACATATAATTTATAATTTTAACACTATTTGTATGTGTATATTGTTAAAAAGGAAATAATAATATGAAAATGTCCGTACATTATTTGTTGTACTTGTACATTCCTATTGCATATATGTACAAATTATCATGTACAATTTGTTAAGTGCAATGTACTCATTATCACAATATACTCTTATATTAATGTTAAAAGTAAAGTGCTATGCACACATACATAGTTCACTTAAATTTAAAAAGAATATAAAAACTCCAATAAAATAAATTAACGATATTTAAATAGATTTAAAGACCTTATAATACAAAATATAATTATAGAACAAAAAAAGTACCTTAAATTGAAAATTGAAATTTATGAAAATAGCGTTTCATTAAAAAAAAAAATCTTTTCAACAATTACCGTAAATAACAATTTTTATTTAAAGTCTATGACTTTTATTAAACTTTTATAGTTAGTGTCAAGAACAATGAAAAATTAAATGACCAGAAATAGGAAATAGATTAAAAATGACTATAACAAGTCGTGCCAAAATATTTATGATTGTTTTTAAAATTAATTGGCATTTTGTTTATTTTTTTCTTATAGAAAAACGGGTTTTTTAGATTTATAAAGTGCAAGAGTTTTAAAAAATTTCTTGAAGTTGCTTTAGAAATCTGAAAAATTACTGTTTTAGTAAATTTGAAAAGTTTCTTTATCACTTAGCAAGACAAGCAATTTTTCTTCATAAAAGAATTTATGAAACATGTAGAAATTCTACAATGATTGATTTTGCTCTAATATGAGCTATAAGTTCACAATAATGGTCTACAGTCTTTCCTTTTCTTTTAATACAAAACAATTTATAGAAGCAAGGGCATAAACAAGTTTCAAGAATTGGTACTCAATTGTACATAATGATATCGTGACTATAGCGCCTTAACTTACTGCACAACACCATGGAATTACTCATTTTTTGCAATTAAATTAAATAAAACCAACAATACCTTTGACTTTTATATTCTGTTTTCTTTTCTTTTCTTTCGCTTTGTACTTAAAATATGTATGTATATGTTATTATGTACATAATTATTTAAAAAACTCTACATTTTCGTCAAAAGAATACTATAAATTTATTAAAAAATTTTCCTAACTTCTTTAACTATAAAACATAAAAATTATTTGTTTTTCATTGCATTTTCTTCTTCTTGATTTGATGTCGTTCGATTCTTCATTTTATATAGAGCTGTCAATTGATCAAGTGCATTTTCAGGTACCATTGTTATCGTATTTGATTCTAAATTTAACATTCCATTTACTATTGGAGGTTTTTTCCGATTTTCAGCATCAGACATTGTCAATAATTTTGAATCTAATTTCTTTTTTTTAAATTGATCTTTTGACCAATTTTTTAGCCAATTTTCAGCTTCAGCTAGTTTTTTATCTTTTTGAATTTTCTTCAATGTTATGGATTCAGTTGATTCATTAAAATCGGATTGACTAACAGCACGTTTTCTTGATGTTGCAGTATCTAGGCCAATTGGTCGTGTTTCACTTTGTGGTCCAAGTTCTAAAACAAATTGAATATCAGCATTATCACCTAATCGAAAGCCGAAACCATATCTTGAGTCATGTCCTAAAAAAAAATATGGTGATAAACAACAATCCTCTAAAAATATATTTATTAAATTAATTTCAAACCTTTCCGAATCTGCGGAATATTTGAATACACTAACGACAAAATAGATGGAAGTTCTTGAGGAATAACAAATGCACTAGTACCTGAAAAAAAAATTAAATATAACGAAATTATTATAAAATAATTTTATGGATTTTTTTAAATAGCCGCAATCAATAAAAAAATTAAATGCAACTTTTACATTAAATACGAGAATGTTGTATTGCGTTCCAAAAATCATTAACCAAATTGACATCCAAAATGAATAAAGTTGGATCAAATGGATAAAGTTGGAATTTGTAACGAAACACTTTTCCCTTGAACAAGTTACAATACTACTACTAAAGAAACAGGAACTACATTATGTAAGTTACTTTCATTCGTATACCAAAATACTTCAATCTATAGCATACATTTATAATGAGAAAAGAAAAATTGGAAGAATACAATTATCTTTTTTGTTAGCATGGCATTTTGCCTCTTCTTTTCGCTTTTATAGAAACTTAGGAAAGCTTGAAGGTTCCGAAATAGTAAACGCAGAAAGTTCGAATTTTACGAATTTAGATACGCGATAACTTTGAAGTGGAAGTAGGAAAATTTTTTTTCAAACGAAATAAACAATTTATTAGACCATACAATTTATAGAAAATAATCTTTTAATAGGAAATGGAAAAATATACGGAATTAAAAAAAATTATTGTAGTTTCGTTACAATAAATCGCCAAAAATAGTATCATTACAATAATAGCCAAAATAGGCACTTTTGAGTTGGAGTTATAACTTTTGGAGAGGAGAGATAGGTAAACAATTTTTCTTCGAATGTTCATAACGTTTTTACTAACGGTCTATTTGCGTATAAAAATTAAGCTTTCTATCTCAAAGGGTGTAGAAATTTTGTAAACAGACACATGGACTGACGGACAGAGTAAAACTTGTACAGAGCGGATTTGTTGGTACTTGTTGTAATTCATAAACATATGAAAACTAGCTTCAAATATCTTTGTAAAATAGAAATACTTATTTCTAAACCAATTACCAAATTTTTTAATATAAGGTTTGCTTTGTTAATAGCAATATTATTGCTTAACGATAGGCAATATTGTTTCTTCTCTTAAATTTTTGTTAAATTTTTTCCTTTGATACAAATACTTTCTACGACATGTCGTATGACAAAAAAATCAATTTTTGAATTCATGACATGTTGTATGAGAAGAAAAGAAGCAATTTCGTTGGTATTTGCGGTTAAGCATTCTATAAATTTAAAAATAAAAGTCCAAATATAAAAATTTTAAAACATTGAAGAAGGATTACAACTTCAAAACTAAATTGTTGTGTTACCTTTCAGGCAATTAATTAATTTTATTCTAGCAAGATAGAAGCAAGTTCTTCGGTTTAATTACATAATGTACAAAGATTAAAAAAACATTTGTATAAAATTCATCAAAAATTGGTTTAACTGCCTGCACAACATCCGCAAAACTTCTTAAAGGGCTGACATTCAAAATCTCTTTCAAATTCTTTCAAATTCTTTTTACAATTTTTGCCAGTACACTCAATATTTTCAAATGAGAATTATTATTCGTCGGACAGAATTAAAGCTGTAACCCCTTAATTATCGATCCCATAGCAAGTCCATACATTTTAACACTAATACGAGTATACCAATTTAATCCCTCAATTACCCATATATTCTTCAACAAAGATAAGCCGAAAAAGCAATTTAATTTTTTAAACGAAATATAAATTATTTCCAAAGGAAAAAAAATTTTGAAATAAAATGAATTTCTTAAGTGAATTTACTTCATGACGTACCAAAAATAAAACAAATTTATTTAAATATATTTTATCAATTACTTTTAGCGGAAAAATAACATCTATGGAGCACTAACCAATATACAAACCAAACAAAAAATTTTATCTATAATTCGAAAGAAAAAAAAACATTTTTATTATAATTTTTTTAAATACGTGCTATATGAAATAAGGTGTCATTAAAATTAATTTATATTATAGAATCAATTGCGCAAAAATTAAAATTTATATAAAATTATACAACAAGTTTGAAAATTTGTCATCCACTAGAATATTTATCAGAAAATGAATATTAATTAAAACGGACAAAAAAGCGTGAAAAATAAAATAAATCACGTCAACGCATAACATACATATTATATATATATATATATATATATATGTCTTTCTTAAATTTATAGTATTAAAAGATTTAAAATTATTGGTAATCATACCAATTTAAAATTTGTTGTTGCGGCATTTGCTTATAAAAAAAGTAAAATTGAATTGATTCTTTTTCAAAAAGCAATTTTTGAAAAAGAAATCAAAAAAAAAATCAGTTCCAATTTAACTTTCTAAAAGTTTTTGATTACGTTTTTGACAATTTAATAATCTTAGTCGCGCTGCAAAACTTCCGATCATGCCATCTTTATACGCATTTTTTTAATTATTTAACGCGTACTTAAGAGTTGCAATTTTGTAAGAATATTTTTTATTTTGGGTAACGAAATACAACGTATTAACAAAATATTAAATATTAGACGCAAAATTGTTAATCTAAAAAAAATTTTAAATATGTACATACATAATATATATACATATATATATGTACTTAAACCTAAAAAACGTTCATTAGAAAGAGTCAGACAAATAAAATTTAAAATTATTTAAACGTATGTATGTACGTATGCTTCCAATAAAAATTTTAAAACCACACACATGTTAAAAGCATAATTATATTTCGTGAATTCTATGGTAAATAATTTATTAGCAAATATGTTTTTACAGGTAGCATTTTGAAAAGTGCCGTCGAATGTCCTTTACTTTATTTACATACATGAAATTCGTGCTATATGTAAACTAACCTTAAAAATTTGTAGTTTCGCACAAAAACTCTTTCGCACATAAATTAATTGAAACGTGAAAAACGTGATTACGCTTCTCTAGAATTACATCCATATTTTTAATTTTCATATGAAATTGATCAAGAAGCTTCATTGCTGGTTTTTTCGCCGGCTTTCGTCTGTTTTTTGTACATTAAGAAAAGTAAGTATAAGTTATGAATGCCACATTAAGAAAAAATGAAAACATAATTTAAAATAAGAAAAAACGTTTCAGTCTATCAGCACCGACTGAATTATACCTTGACAATATAAAAATTTGTTTTTGAAATATTTAGAATTAGCCTTCGTAGTTGTATGACAATTACTCTAACCTGCGCCACCATTCCATAAAAACTTCATGTCTGACCTATAATTGGAAACACGACTGCCAAATTTTATGCAACTAACTTTATTATCTCTTCAAAAATTTAATATTAGCTTTTGAGGTCGTGTGCCACCCATTCCATTGATATCTTCAGTACAAAATTTCATATAAATTCCCGAAATATTAACAAAAAAAAAAACTCTTTGAGTTGTAGGACAGCTACCCGAACCCGTTGGTCGAATTAGTTTAATTAAAAGGCTTTCCCATTTTTTCTAACCCATAAAGGTTTCTACAAAGTCCTATTGCACCAACCGTTTTTATATTTGTTTTTATTTTTTAACTTTTCAAAAAAAATCTTTTTTCATTGAATTGTTGACACTGTGCAACAAGAATTTCGCAAATATTTTGATTAATTGCCATTCTATTTTCACTGTTAAATAATTTTCAAATTAATGAGTTTGGTTATTTTTAATAATTGCCAATTCTTTTATTAGTTTTTATATTTGCTCATAGATGTCGCTGTATTACGTTCTAAAACTAATAAAATATTTTAGTGTGTTTTTACGTGACATCTATCGGAAATCGAAAATCGAACAAAAGAAATTTTTAAAAAATTCAAATTAAATATTCACGATTTTCGGTTTTGAATTCACAATTTTTCACAAATAATTCATTTACATGTGCAAACTAACCCAAGTCCACTACCTCAAACAAATAAGTATGTAAGTCATCTGTTCCGGTAAGTGATTTGCAATACACGAATCTTATGTTTTCAAAGTTATTTTACGTCATTTAAATTGGATATTTATGAGTTGTTTAAACACTTTAATAGTACGCAACTAATATTGCTTGTTATAATTTGTATATTTATATGTAAAATTTTAATTTGAATTGCTACTTTAAGTTTATGTTTTATTTAAGTTATTTGAGGAAAAACAAATATTTGTTAAATTTACAGTTGGCTAATAACTAGCTAGCTAGTTAGTTGCCTTTATAATTGTATAATATATGGAATAATTATAAAATAAACTTCAAATTTCTACTAAACAATAAATGAAGAGGTCTGTAACAGTCTCTATATTATTCTAGATTATTCTTCTTATTTATATAAAAATATTTTTCTGCCATAATCATCTTTCCATCAAATTTAATTATAGCAAAAAATAAATTTAACTACAGATTTAACAAAGTAATAAGAGTAAAATAACAATTAATCACTACTTTTAAAACATTCCAAAATATATCACTTATTGAACTTTTACTATTCTATGTGCATATTATATAATATGGTATAGTATATACAAGGTTCAATGATTTTAACTATGCCACAATTCCCTTGAATTCATTTTTATGAACAATGTTAGCATTTATTCTAATTACGTATAGTTAAAGTAATTTTAAAATGCCATTACTAATAAAATCAGAAAACAAAAATTGCAATTAAACAAAAAGGTTAAAACATCGCGTAATTAATTAATTTTCATGGTGAAAAAATATACACACGGAGTTTTATAATTTAAAAAAAAAAGCTGTGAAACATATAGTTTCTTGAAATTTGTTAGTAGAATATTTTTTATTATAAAAAAATTGAATTGGGCCAAAACAGGAAATACTGGAAAAAAATATTATGTAATTTTCAACTGAGTTTTGAATGACAAAAAATTCTTTAAAACACACCCATGGTTCTGTATATAATTATATGAATACGATATACCTATATGAAAAATATATAATGTATATGTATATGTATAGGAGTACACAGAAACATGAAATTTTAATAAACAAAATCTTAATATAAAATAAGTTCCGTAAAAACGGAACATATCGGTTTTGGTAAAAACGAATTCAGCAATTCAAACTATTTAAGAAATTATTTTTTAATTAG